GAAGAAATAAATCCATCAGCCGTTTGTGTAACGTTGGAAATCTGGCTGAAATTGACAGTTGTGCAGAATCTTTTTTTGAAACTAAATTTTATTTTTATTTTTATTTTTTTGCCAAACCAAGAACATGTGAATTGAATGACTTCAAACCTGTCATCTTCTTGAGTCTTTTAAGATTCGTGTCATCTTGACTCTGAGCCTCACTTGTCTTTCTTGATTTTTTATTTTTTTTTAAATTATATGTGAACTTTAAACTGAGGTGACCTTCAGACAAAGTAGTTTTTTTTTTCTTTACCAATAAAATGCAAACTTTTACTGTGATCGTTTTGTGTCTTTCTGTCAGACTTGAAAGAGGAGTAAAGAACGGTAACCTGGTGCGATTTAGGTAGAAGTCTGATCAGTCACAGGGTCACAGGCTCTGGATTCATCATGAATAATTAAACACCTGTTAATCAACATTTCCAAAATAACAAAAATAAATAGTCATATTTCTAGAACAGAGAGACATGTCTGTGTTTCAATCCTGTTTTTGTTTGTGTTTTATCCAACTGATGGAATTATTATAGAAAAATATACAACCCAGGAAATGTCGATACAGCGGCGAATCGCGATATTTTGATTCACAATATCAATATTTTAAAGCAGTATGTTGATTTTTTTATTTGTACAATTCCCAGTCCAATATTCCTGGTGTTCCGGGTTCTTTCTTCTCTGCTGATTCCAAATGTAGATCCCACTGTTCCAATGTCAGTAACCTGATGTTCAACAATGTGTCAGTTTTGTAAAAAAAAAAACAAAACCTCAATATATTGCGTGTCTATAGTATCACAATATATCACAATATATCGTATTGTTGCCCCTGTATCTTGATGCGTTTCTTATCACCAGATTCTCACAGTCCTATTGTTGAGTTGGTGGAGGTTAATTCTGTCTCTGGAGGTTTGAAGAGTTTCTTTCACAGCTTCAGTGAAGTCGTATTAATTAGTCTACAGTTTCTAATTGGACATTTGACGTTTGAGTCAATCATTTTCAAGTTTTTGTTCGTATAACCAACAATATTATCAACTCAAATACTTAAAGAAATGTCAACAAGACACGTGAGATGCAAAATATATTTTTTTAATTCACAATAAATTAATTATACCAGATGATTCAAAGACAGGAAAAAATAAATAAATATATTTTTTTCAGTGACATACATTTACCTCTGTTGTCAATATACTCCGATAAAGCCAATATATACTGTACAGACATTGTATTGCATTTAATATTTACCATCTTGGATTTTTTTTGTACATTAGGTTTTTTTCTTTTTTAAACACGTTGTTTACAGTAAATCTTAATGACAACAAACACAACATTACACAAACAGCAATACTCATGTTGTCGATGGTCATGTGACACACGTTAGCTGTGACAGCGCAGCAGGTTGGTGATTTAGGCGACAGTAAAAAAAAAACGTAGTGGCGTTCTGGGAAAAGAAAATCTATAAATATTGTGACTTCACCAGAATGTGTTTGGAGAATGAAGAAGTCAAGACTGAACTGAACTAACAGGATCTGTGACAGTCACTGCACACAGTGTAAACTTAGCAACCACCAGGTGGTGATGGTGCAACAACGTAGTACCAGGGAGTTTCCTCCTACCGTGGTGTCGTTAAAGCACAGTAACTAAATTAAAATGGCACCGAACGTCTGCAATAACCACGAACTGCATCAGTGGGAAATAAGATGGGATGGAAGTGGTCCAGGAAATTATAGGTGGCGCTATGGATAGGACCAATTTAGAATGAGCGAGCAGCATTAAAGTGGGAATGGTGATACTGTGTATGCAAAGTATGTGCAATGTAGTCAGAACTGCTCAGAGTTCAGTTTCACTCACGATGTCCTGCTGGCTTATGTGCATTCAAGGCAAACGGGGGGAGGGGGGGCGGCAGCAAGACCTCCTCAGAACGGCTGTGTAACAGACCCACTGTACTGTAGTGTACTGCACACCACAGTACACAACAGCCAGGTCGTCAAATCATCACCACATACGATTGCTGAAAATATATCTTCATGTGTGAAAGTGAAAATAATAATTTAAAAAAAAAGTTAAAACATTTGGTCATTTTATCCCTGAAATGATAAGAGTTTAAATTTAAGGCAAAATTAAAAAATATATATGTATATATATATTTATACATATATGTGTATATCTGTATATACATATACATGTACAAATATACTGTATATGTATAAACATACACATATATACACACATAAATACATATATGTATAAATATATACACATATATTTATACATATATGTGCAAATATATGTACATATATGTACGTATATGTATATACATATACATACATGTACAAATATATATCTGTATATATATATATGTATATATATATATCCTGAAGCGTTTTCAACAAGTTGCGCGTTCACATTCAGTTCAACGATAACACAACGAAAATCAAATGTACAGGCGACACTTGCAGTTTGAGGAGCAAGTGCAGACAGTTGTGTGTTTTTTTTTCTTGTATCTCAGATGATAATGAGAACACAGAGTTGTTGTTGTTTTTTTGTTTGTTTTTGTTGTTTTTTTACATCACTCTCCAGTCACTGGTAGGTTAGCTCTTCCTCCACACGTCACTTGTTTTCTATCAGAGTCTGGACTTTGTGGACCAGGTCCTGGGCCATGGCCAACATCTGGGGGACGTCGTGACGCTCGGCCATTTCTGAAAAGAGAAAACCAGACCATGTGACTGTTGGGGTTTACCAGGGGTTTATTCATGGAGCTGTACAACGGCAGCATGGCCACTCTCAAGGCAGAGACGTAAACGTTTCAGTCAAAATTGACACACTAACTGATTGATATTAATTGTATTTTATTTTTTTTAAATCAATCAGATTAAAATCTTATTTAAAGTTGTCATTTTATCACATTCACCAACTCTATCAAGCTAAATTTTGAGGTATACTTTTGCATATATAAAAGAACATATATTATTATTTTATGTCAAGAATATATTTTATAATATATTTTTGACATTTGTCCGTATTAATAATTCAGTCATTTGGATTAGTCACAAATAAAAACACCAATATATGGAAAGAATATATATAAGGAAATAGTATATAAAAGTATTTACATACATATATAAATACATATGCTGGATATGTGTGTATACGTACTGTATATATATATATAAACATATATAAATATATTTACAGTATATATAAATACATATATATGTATATACATACACATATATGTATTTATATATATATACTGTATATATATTTATATATATGTATATATACTGTATTTCTATACATTCATTATTTCATGGTTGAACTGTTATAGCTGCCTCCTTATATTCGGCCACCTGAAACATCAACCCTACATTTGTTCCTCCTGGTGGTTCCACCTACCGTTGAAGAACTTGATGATGTCTGTGAAGTCCATGTTGTTCTCCAGGATGATGTCCCTGTACATCTCCACCAGGGCCAGAGCGATAAACAGGACGAAGTGCTCAGAGGACGTGTGCTTGGCCGCCCAGATGGTTTCCCACACGGAGAACACGTCGTCGTACACCGTTTCTGTTTGGACGGACACACGTCAACAGCCTTGACTGATAAAATTCAAGCTCGAGGAAAATTTGCGAATGCCTGCAATACCGACTCTGACCTCTTTTAAAGTCCAGCAGAAACCAGCGGTAGCAGAAGTAGAAGTGAGTGTAGTCTCCGTTCTGCTGCATCAGTTCAAACAGCTCCGAGTCCAGGATCTGGGTTCACAAAAAAAATGATTTTATAACAACAAACAACAATAGACAATGTTATTATTAGCAATAATAATAATAATAACACTCAGTGAAATAAATGCAAAACATTTTGTAATTTTTTAAAATTTAAATGCTAATTTTCTGTAGCATAAATGTAGCTTATACACTCATACTTGGATAAGAGAACGCATGTTGGCGAAATGGGAGTCCATGGCGCCACCATGTGGGAAATTCTGGTTCATCCGCTTCATCAGTTCAGTGAAGCAGCTGAAGGCCATGACCTCTGGAAATATAAAATAAATATTAATACAAAAATATATATATTTAAGGTTTGTACATTTCTGCAAAGCTGTTGATATTAATTAAGATTCACTGACCATCGTCCAGAATGACCAGCAGGGGAGCCAGAAGGTCACACATGCCCTGGACATATCCAGTATCCAGATGCTGCCACACGTAACTAAACACAAAACGTCGTTTAAATTCTTTTTTGTTTTTGTTTTTAAAGAAACGTTGATATTTTTGACCACAGTAACTCGTGAACTGCACCTGCACATGATGTTACGCAGTTTCTCCAGGTTCTCGGGGGTGAAGTAGCAATATGTTCTGTCGCACCGTCTGACGTCTTTGTCGATGCGATGTAAGTTGATCAAGTACATGGCCAGAGTTTCTTGCTGTAAGAACAACAGTGAATCCAATCCCCTGGTTATTAAAATAGATTAATAAAATAAGCTGCAATGCTGCCATCTAGTGGCTTTTACTTTCATACACATTTTTTTCCCCAAAACTACTTGCAAACTTTGCAAACCCAGGGATTCCGTTATTATTATGCTAATATCGCACCTGATATAACAATTCAGCCAATATTATCGGACATCCCTATGTGGAAACAAATTTTCCTCGACTTCTCAAACTGACACTGTCATCACATTAGACAATATATATAAATAAACTAAAGGTAAATTACATTTAAAAAATAATGTTTAACAATAAAAATAAAGATAAATAAGTTAAGACCGCGAGCTGAACAGAAAGTGAGCAATAGCACACTATTAGTATGTATGAAAAAACGCTGCCCCCTGGCTGTCTATGAAAAACGCTGCCCCATGGCTTCCTCCAATAAACGTGTCACTATCGTCTATGAAAAACGCTGCCCCCTGGCTTCCTCCAATAAACGTGTCACTATTTCCATGTTTAAATAAACAAATGGACTGAATGTTGGAAAATAATTCTCTACAGGAAGTGACTTGATGAGGCGTAAACTCACGTAAAGTTTTACTCAATTCCTCGTACACATTAATAAACGTTGTCTAATTGATCGACAAACTGTAAATATCAGTGCGCGTGGTTTCAGTGCGATACTTACAGAGTAGGGTTGTTCTTCCGAGGACTCGTCCTGTTTGGTGTCTCCGCCCACCTCCGCAGGCTCGGCCTCAGCGAGAACGTTCTCCATCTCCAGCTCCTCCTCGGAGAGCCCCAGGTCGGTGCCCTCAGGGCTGGTGTTACACGCCAGGTCCAGGTGGTGATCCAGGACCAGTCCCTCCGACGCCATTCTCTCTCGTTGTGCCAGAGACATCGGCGGAGCGGCGAGTCCCGCCAGCGGCCTGACTCTGAACTCCTCGGAGGTCACGCACGTGATGCCTGCCGGGATGTCCTCCATCTCCAGAGCGGAAGGAGAATCGTCTGAGTCGGCCGTGTCAGGAGAGTGTCTGGAGGACAGAGACAGACTCCCCCTGGAGGCCGTCTGAAGAGCGTTCAGGACTTGTCTGACCGGGGAGTTGGAGTCAGGTTTTTCAAAAGGAATCTCAGCCTTTTTGGTTTCTGGGAAATCCACGACGGTTGTCGGTTCAGTTTCTTTCTTCTCTGATTCAGGGGAACCAATCAGGATGGTCGTTGGTGACGGGTTTGTCTCATCCTGTGGTTTTTCAGATACTGGAGTCAGATATTCATCACTTTTGTCTGTTTCTTCTGTATTTGAACACACCAGCTCCACCTCCTGATCTTCGCTCTTTGGTGCCTGCAGACTCAGCGTCTGCCCTAGTGGAGGGGCTTGGAAATACTGGTTATGGATCTCTGTTTCAAGCTTCAGAACGTTTGTGGTCTCCGGTGCGGATCTGGAATTTAAATCTGTTGTTTTTGAATCTTCTGAGTGCTCACCGTCTCCTCCATCGATGTCTCCTGCTGCAGGTTTGTCTCCCTCTGCAGGTGCTTCCTTGAACTGACCGATTCCATCACCATCACCTTCATCATTTTCTGTCTTCAGTTTTACCCCCTCTCCTGGATCCAGGACTTCTCTCTCTCTGAGATCCTGGCTCCCTTTTTCCTCCCCTGAGTTTTCCAGAGTCTCGGATGAAGTAGAGGAAACACCCGGCTCTGTGCTCCCTGACTCTGGAGGTGGATTTGACTGATCCGGAGGTGGAGGTTGTGGAGAACCTTCCTTGGTTTCCTTGGTGAGATCTTTCGCAGGACTGGACTTCTGCTGGGCTTCCTCCTCGGTGCTGGGTTCAACCTCAAACTGATCGGTCGCTTCGACTGATTCAAATACCTGGGAAAGGAAAGAAAAGCTGACGTTTTCCATTTTAGGATAGAGAAATAAGCAGCAGTCATTGAACTTTGGTTGGAGTTTTAGCATCTTAGAACAACGGAATAAATACAAAAAAAAAGTTTGAACTATATTGATCCCATATTTGGTAAATTCTTGTGTTAACAGGCTGCCCCCAGGACGCGCCAAGCATGTGGTTCCTCTGGGAATTGAACATAGGACTCTCTGCTGTCAAGGCAGGCGTGCTAACTGCTACACTATGGAACAGATATACGTACATCTATACTGTGTTTTTGTTTTTGTTAAACTGTTAAGCACTTGAGTTAAAGTTATTATAATACATACAAACATATATATATATAGACACATATACAAATGTTATTATGTATGTTAATACATGTTAGCATATATAAACAAAACATGCAAAAGCTGGGCGATGTCTGCGGTCGTGTCCCGTTTATGTTTCTCATGTTAACTGTTTATATCTTTATATATTTATATATGTATTTCAGTTTAAACATTTATATGTTTTCTTCTTCTTTGATACATAATTTTAAGTAACCAGATTCCTCATCAAGTTAAGGAAAAAAAAATACATGTGTAAAATCGTGTGGCTTCAGCAATACTGTATGTCTGAGCAACGGTTGACGTGGTCGTGCGATGCTGATGCTTGTGGAAAAAACTACCTGTGCACTACAGCTGGAATCACTCTGTGAGTGGGAATTCTGTTGATCTGAGCTACTGCTTAGAGACGACTGCAGCGGGAAGAAGCGTCACACAAGAGACAGAACAGAGAACGGCAGAACCGTCAGCAAAAACACTACACACCCACCCACACACAGACACACATATATCTCAACAACTTTATCCCAGCCGACACTGGTGTTGGCTGGGATAAAGACGAAGAACATGTCCTGGATTAAAGCATCAAACTTGCATCCGTGCTGATGGTGGAGTCTCGCTGCATCGGTCCTCGTTCCACACTGGTTCCTGAAGAACATCTGGCCAGGGCCTCGGCGTGTTTCTCTTGCTCTCTCTGACGGACAATGGCCTCGCAGCCCTGCCACTCCTTCATGGTCTGCTCGTACATGATCCGCATCTGCTCGTCAATCTGAAACAGAGGCGCCGTTTGTCAAAGATGCTGCGACGCAGCCAGGCTAGGGATGTCCGATATCAACTTTTTGCCGATATCCCGATATTGTCCAAACACTCAATTTCCGAGTCCGATATCAAACGATACCAATATAGCGGGGCAGTGGTGCCCTGGTGGTTAAGGAAGTGAAGTGTCGCCTGCTCACTAAGGTGATGGGTTAAAGCAGTGTTTCTCCATTATTTTCTACCATGCCCCCTCTAGGGGGCAGAAGTCTTTTTTACCCTCCCAAGTTGAAATACTATTGAGTGCGAGGTAATATTTATGTATTTATCTGTACAAACCACTGTATGAGTTGCTGGCACCAGCATGAGCTGCAATGCTGCCATCTAGTGACTTTCACTTTCATATACAGATGTTTTTCCCCAAAACAAATATTTTGGGTCACACATCCTTTGGCGAAACCTAAGCAATGAGTTATCGGGTTTTGACTATCGGAGGATTCTTACAGATATTACATAATTATGATAATATCGGTCGGCCGATATTATCGGACATCCCTAACCCAGGGTTGTTAACACAGTAATTCCAGGGTCTGACCTCCATCCTGGAGCTCTCTGTCATGGTGAACTGGTAGTGACCCAACAGGAAGGGCCAGACCTCTTTGCGGAGAGAAGGCGCCACGCCACCGAAGTACACAAGTCTGTGTATTTCCTTCTCCTCGAAGGCCTGTCGATGAGAAGTAAACGATTGGTTTATGTTCACGTCAACGCAGCACCAGTTACTACTGAAGCACGTTTAATTCGTACAGAGCTTTCTTTGAGGAACTCGTTCCAGACTTCCACAGAGAGCCCCCCTCTGGCATCACAGGGTACGTCGGGGTAAACGATAGTGGTGTTCACCAGAGCAGAAAGGTGGGTGCGGACTGTTGACAGATGACGGCAGTATGCTAGCCCTGAAAAAAAACAAAACAAGTAAAGGTAGAGTTGGCGAGAAGCCCCGGCACAGCCCCCCCCCCAAAAAAAACTAACAATACCATCACCGAAAAAAAGATTTCTTTAGAAAGTGTAAGATGTAGTATGTAGTGCTGCATGTACAGCACCCCCTGTAGGTGGTTCAACTTTATCACATTTTAGTATTTACTGGGCCTGGCATTTCTGTACTGTTATTTATTGTGTACTGTGTATTTGTTCAATGACTGTGACTATTTTTACTGCTTTACTTGTGTAGTACTCACATCCGTAAAACGCACGGGAGATGATCTGGTACTTCATGGTATCACACAGGAGTTTTAGAGGAGCCCTGGTACAGATGGAAAAATGACAAACTTAGTCGAGTGATACTTTCCAAGAAGACGTTGTTTAACCTAGCGGTCCGCAATCGTTCAAAGATAATTTACATTTTCAAAATAAAACATCTTTTCAACTTTACTCTGTTAATATCAGAGTCTGAATGACATTTTATTTTGAAATGTTGCCAGTTTATTCACTGTGTCCCACTGCAGTCTGCTACCAAATGATCTACAGACCAGCACCCGCCCGGGAACCAGGGGTTGGGGAGCCCTGGTTTAAAACCACCCCTGTGAAATGATTACCTTTCTTGATTGCAGCCATTGGGCAGCGAACCATCAGAGGAGCCGTTCTGGGAGCAGGAGGAGCAGGACGACTTCCTGGGAGTCGGCTGCCACAGGTTCACAGTCTGGTCCATCAGATCCAGAGCCACTGAACAACAAACACACACCTGAGTGTCGCAGCTGCGGCTAACATCAGAGCTGGAGCATCAGTTCCAGAGGAGCCCAGCGCTCTGTGCGGCAGGAAACAGTTGCTTCTACGACGATGACTACGTTACTTTGTAAATCGTGGATGTGATCTGTAATGGTCTGTGATCTGTAACGGTCTGTGATCTGTAACGGTCTGTGATCACATTAGCGCGGCAGAGGCAGAAGATTAAAGACACTTACTGAACTCCATCTGATTGCCGGGGAAGAGGATTCGAAACACATAATCGGTCGCTTCATCATCTTCCTTATCTGACACAGAGTCACATGATCCGTGTGGGCTGCGCTTTCGAAGCTTGGGGAAAACTTTTCCCTGGAAAACAAAGACCACCATAACTGAACCTTTACAGGATATTTTTCATGTGTGTCAGCAAAATGGATCCATATCTGATTTGTTAAAGAAGGATATACACGGTATATATATATATAAATATATATATTTAGTTGAACACAACACTAACATAATAGCAGGAATTGAAGAAAGAGAAAATATATATATAAGAAAGGTGAAATATTTGTGTTTTTTCTACTTTTAAACTTTATCAAGCCGGCTGGATTGACCCTCTTAGTGGACTGGTTTTGGCCCACAGGCCGCATGTTTGACACCGCTAGGTTAAAGGGACCAGTTTTTTACAGTGGAATTTGAAGGCAAGGAAAAAACGTTTAATCTCTCTTTGCTCTTCAGTCAAAGGCAGAAGCAGGGAGGAGAAACTGCTGAGAGTTTCCAGGATTTCTGGTTTTCTTGGTTAATCATTATCTTGGATTTTCTGGTTTTCCAGGAGGCCTTGGATCGTTGCTTATATTTCACGACCTGTGACGTATGCACATACACACGAACCTTCCCTCTCTGATTCCACAGAGGCGGGTCCAGCTGCCCGTGAGGAAGCAGTCCAGTCTCCAGGCAGGTGAGAAACTGCAGAAGGTGACCTCCTTTGGGGAAGTGTAGAGGAGGTCTCTGGATCCCATCCTGGCTCACCAAAACCACTGTCCCACCACTGTTCACTGGACAGGTGGACACACAGGAAACAGGATTAACGCCCTCCCTGCGTGTTTGACCACAGTCATATTATGGGATGCGGCCGTACCTTGCTGGTGACAGTGGAGGTACACGATCTCCTCCAAACGAATCGTCATGGCAAAATCCCAATAAACACTGAAACAAGAAGGATTAGGTCGGAAAAATACACAACAAAAACAGACGCTAACGTCAAAGTCCTAGCTATCCATCCATCCATTCATTCATCCAACCATGCATCCATCCATTTATCTATCCATCCATCCATCCATCCATCCATCTATCCATCCATCCATCTATCATCCATCCATCCATCTATTTATCTACCTATCTATCTATCCATCCATCCATCTATCATCCATCTATCTATCTATCCATCCATCCATCCATCCATCCATCTATCTATCTATCATCCATCTATCTATCCATCTATCTATCCATCCATCCATCCATCTATCTATCATACATCTATCCATTCATCCATTCATCCAACCATGCATCCATCCATCCATCCATTCATCTAACCATGCATCCATCCATCCATTAATCCATCCATCCATCCATCCAACCCTGCATCCATCCATCCATTAATCTATCCATTCATCCATTCATCCAACCATGCATCCATCCAACCATGCACCCATCCATCCATTCATCTATCCATCCAACCATCCATTCAATCAAACCATGCATCCATCCAACCATGCACCCATCCATCCATTCATCTATCTATCCATCCATCCATCCAACCATCCATCCATCTATCCATCCAACCACCCATTCAATCAAACCATGCATCCATCCAACCCTGCATCCATCCATCCATTAATCCATCCATCCATCCATCCAACCCTGCATCCATCCATCCATTAATCTATCCATTCATCCATTCATCCAACCATGCACCCATCCATCCATTCATCTATCCATCCAACCATCCATCCATCTATCCATCCAACCCCTCTAACTCACCTCTTCTCTGTGTCTAGCTCCCCCACATTTCCATTCATCAGCTGATTGGGCGTCCACTTCAAACCATGCATCCATCCAACCATGCACCCATCCATCCATTCATCTATCCATCCAACCATCCATTCAATCAAACCATGCATCCATCCAACCATGCACCCATCCATCCATTCATCTATCCATCCAACCATCCATTCAATCAAACCATGCATCCATCCAACCATGCACCCATCCATCCATTCATCTATCCATCCAACCATCCATTCAATCAAACCATGCATCCATCCAACCATGCACCCATCCATCCATTCATCTATCCATCCATCCATTCATCCAACCATCCATCCAACCATCCATCCATCTATCCATCCAACCCCTCTAACTCACCTCTTCTCTGTGTCTAGCTCCCCCACATTTCCATTCACCAGCTGATTGGGCGTCCACTTCATCAGCGTCATCAGATCAGCAGTCTGGTGCAGAGACAGGTATCCTGGGATGGCCTCCATGTCGTCTCTCTGAGGAGACGGTCGACACATCCATCACATCATCACATCATCACATCGTCAGACCAGAGAATATTTTTAATTTGACATCAAACCATAAATCAACACGTACCGGCTGCACCAGGACGTTGTTCTTCCCGAACAACAGCGTAGCTCTGGAGTTTTGGTGGAGCGACTCCACATATTCCCTCACCAACGTGAGAGGGCGATCGTCCATGCTGCCACTGGACTGTCTTTTCTGGATCTGGAACAGAGTATTGTAAAAAAAAGTATTAGGAATTAAATTTTACATTTCAAATATTTTGCTCCTGTTTACGTGAAATTCATGAACTTCTCAAGTCACCAGAGCGGGTCGTCTGGAGGGTGAATCCTGCCGACAGTGGCCGCTGTGGATGCGATGTCGTTGTACCAACTCGTCGGCAGAAGGGTCCGTCCAGAAGTGGTCTGCCGTCTTGACTTTGGTGTACTCCAGGGCGCAAGGTCCAACTGTACAGCAAAACAGCAGTGGCTTAAAGACACCGAGCTAGCACCTCGAATGACAGGGTTTTACTGCTAAGGTGATGTCATACCATGTGCAAATTAGTGAGGTTTATAAATACCCAATAGAGACGCAAGAATCGGTCCATCCACAGGATCCATTATCATGGCTTCTTTCTCGTAGAAGGTACTTTAGAAACAGATTTGAAAAATAGAATTTATTTTCTAAGGGTTTTTTTCCTTTTAAAAATGGCTGACACTAAAATGTAATACCTGCTGTTCTCCACCAGGTACAAGACAATCTTGTCCAAGAGCTTCTCTATCAGCGCAGTTCGGATCCACAAGTGTTTCAGGGCTTGAGGAGGGAGGTTGGCTAACTTGGACTGACGAAGGCGTTCGTTATTTAGTGAAGAATTGTTCTGTTTGCTGAAAAAAAAGAACAGATCCACGACAGGTCACGTGTCTCGACGGAACATATTACTATGGGTACCCAACATCGTTACGTAACGAAATATAGTTATCTTCTTGTTTCAATTTACTCCCAATATGTGTAAAACCTGGGCCTGTTTAGTTGAACACAACACTAACATAATAGCAGGAATTGAAGAAAGAGACACATGAAAATTTTTCTGTTTTGGTTTAATTATATGGCCTGCAATATTTTGTTTTGGTTTAATTATATGGCCTGCAAAAAAACGGTACGATGTGTACGATTGATATCGACCTTTGATGCATTACAACAAATTGCCTGTAATTTCTGATGATGCCACTAAATGGCGTCAGACATCAAATGTGCTAAATTATTTGGAAATGTTTGGGCTTTTTTCGTTTTTTATTTATTTATTAATAATACATAATAATCGTCAAATTTGTTGTTGCACCTATCGTGTCCTCCGTGTCCACACTAGTGTGCCGCAGACCAGAGGTTGGGAATCAGTGTTTAACGGTACATCTCGCAGGTTTACCTGGTTTCGATAATCTGTTCCATCTCCTGGACCTTGTGGCAGAGTTCCTCAGCAGGAGAGAAGTTCTTGGCCACCTTCATGAACAGTGCTGCCACCTTGTTGCTGCACAGGAGGCCTGCAATACGCCGCTTCAGCCCATGAAGCATGCAGGCTTCCACGACGGCTGCGCAGACACAGAAGAGTTGTTTGGTTCTGATTCTGATTCTTTAACGAACGCAAACACAGGAGACACGAGTAGACGAAGACTTAAATCTGTCCGACGCTAACGACTGTTGCTAGGAGACGAAGGACGTGAATCACACATGCATCACCTCTGGTGACTATCACCATCTCTTAAGGCTGGGAGTTTTCTTCCGTTCACAGACACAGTTCGTCTGATCCATGTTTATTTTTCATTTGCAGTATTTACTGGAAAAGGGGATTTACAGGACAACGTGTAAAAACATACAATAATTACCCAAAGGGATCTGTCTGTCCGTCCGTCCATCCATCCATCCATCCATCATCTATCCATCCATCCGTCCATCCGTCCATCTATCATCCATCTATCCGTCCATCTATCTGTCCATACGGCTGTCCTTCCATCCATCCATCTACGTATCTACATATCTATCCATCCATCCATCCATCATCCATCCGTCCATCCATCCATCTGTCCATCCATCCATCCATCCATCCATCCAAACAGACGCAGCATCGCTAACACACACTGTACTGCAGTACTGTACTGTACTACTATTTATCATCATCCATCCATCCATCCGTCCATCCATCCATCATCCATCCGTCCATCCATCCATCCATCCATCATCCATCCATCCGTCCATCCATCATCCATCATCCCTCATCCATCCATCCATCATCCACCATTCATCCATCCATCATCGCGTTCTCACATCAGTT